TGTGATTTTCTGGATTTTTTTTCCTCAATTTGTCTGTCATAGTTGACGTGTACCTATGATGAAAATTACTGGCCTCTCTCATCTTTTTAAGTGGGAGAACTTGCACAATTGGTGGTTGACTAAATACTTTTTTTCCCCACAGTAGCTCAGGGTTGACTGCTCTGACCTGGTGGTAAGTAGTACCATTAAGTAAATAGAGACCGGCTTTAGAAGGAAGCTCCTCCTACTTTCCTGTAAAAAATGATCTCCTTCACATCAGCCACTTATTGTGTCATATTTATCAGTTACCATGTGGTGTGACATTGGTCTGTGGGACATTAATCAATCACCCAGTTATAATGTGCTGATTGATTTAATCAGTTTGCAAGGTCTAGTGTTAATCTAAGCAGTTTTTAAAGGAGGAAGACCATATTGTCCTAGGTTCCTGGTACGAGTCAAGGAACCCTGCCAGATATGAATGTCAGTGGTGGGGATGCACGTCAGAAAAAGAGATCAAAGATAAAGATAAAGACAGCAGTCTAACACACTGCCCAATGAATTATAAACATCATAAATGGATCCTTCCAGCAGAAAGAAGGCATTCATTATCTAATATTTACCTCTATATCAAGAGCAGAACTCCAATCTGAAGTTTGAAAGGGTCAGTCTTAATTGCTGGTCTCCAGGAAGTATTCCATAGCCTAAATATACAGTGCATTCGGGAAGTATTCAGACCCCTTGACTTTTTCCACATTTTGTTACGTTACAGCCTTATTCTAAAATGGATGTAATATTTTTTTTAATTAATCAATTTACATGCAATACCCCATAATGACAAAGCAAAAACAGTTGTTAATTGTTTTTTGCAAATGTATACCTTGTTTACATAAGTATTCAGACCCTTTGCTATGAGACTCGAAATTGAGTTCAGGTGCATCCTGTTTCCATTGATCATCCTTGAGATGTTTCTACAACTTGATTGGAGTCCACCAGTGCTAAATTCAATTGATTGGACATGATTTGGAAAGGCACACACCTGTCTATATAAGGTCCCACAGTTGACAGTGCATGTCAGAGCAAAAACCAAGCCATGAGGTCGAAGGAATTGTCCGTAGAGCTCCAAGACAGGATTGTGACAAGGCACAGATCTGGGGAATGGTACCAAAACATTTCTGCAGCATTGAAGGTCCCCAAGAACACAGTGGCCTCCATCATTCTTAAATGGAAGAAGTTTGGAACCATCAAGACTCTTCCTAGAGCTGGCCGCCCGGCCAAACTGAGCAATCAGGGAAGAAGGGCCTTGGTCAGGGAAGTGACCAAGAACCTGATGGTCACTCTGACAGAGCTCCAGAGTTCCTCTGAGGAGATAGGAGAACCTTCCAGAAGAACAACCATCTCTGCAGCACTCCGCCAATCAGGCCTTTATGGTAGAGTGGCCAGACGGAAGCCACTCCTCAGTAAAAGGCACATGACAGCCCGCTTGGAGTTTGCCAAAAGGCACCTAAAGGAAAGACCATGAGAAACAAGATTATCTGGTCTGATGAAACCAAGATTGAACTCTTTGGCCTGAATGCCAAGCGTCACATCTGGAGGAAACCTGGCACCATCCCTATGGTGAAGCATGTAGGTGGCAGCATCATGCTGTGGGGATGTTTTTCACTGGCAGGGACTGGGAGACTAGTCAGGATCGAGGGAATGATGAATGTAGCAAAGTACAGCAAGATCCTTGATGAAAACCTGCTCCAGAGACTGGGGGCGAAGGTTCACCTTCCAACAGGACAACGACACTAAGCACACAGCCAAGACAATGCAGGAGTGGCTTCAGGACAAGTCTCTGAATGTCCTTGAGTGGCCCAGCCAGAGCCCAGACTTGAACCCAATCGAACATCTTTGGAGAGACCTGAAAATAGCTGTCCATCGACGCTGCCCATCCAACCTGACAGAGAATGAGAGAATCTGCAGAGAATAATGGGAGAAACTCCCCAAATACAGGTGTGCCAAGCTTGTAGCATCATACCCAAGAAGACTCAAGGCTTTAATCTCTGCCAAAGATGCTTCAACAAAGTACTGAGTAAAGGGTCTGAATACTTATGTAAATGTGAAATTCAATATTTTTATTTGTAAAAAATTACCAACATTTTCTAAAAACCTGTTTTTGCTTTGTCAATATGGGGTATTGTGTGTAGATTGATGAGGGGAAAAAACTATGTAATCCATTTTAGAAAAAGGCTGTAACGTAACAAAATGTGGAAAAAGTAAAGGGGTCTGAATACTTTCCGAATGCACTGTATGCACTGTAGCCCCGTGTAGCTCAGTTGGTAGAGCATGGCGCTTGCAACGCCAGGGTTGTGGGTTCGATTCCCACGGGGGGGCAGTATGAAAATGTATGCACTCACTAACTGTAAGTCGCTCTGGATAAGAGCGTCTGCTAAATGACTAAAATGTAAATGTAAATGCTACCCAATGTATACAGTAAACAAAGTGGAGGCTCATTGAATACCTTAGACATTTTGGTATCAGAAAATACAAAATGCCTCAGATTTGAAAAAATATCTAGAATCTTTATTGAAAAAGCAACGGCTTTGGAAAATAAAATGTTTCTGTTAAATGTTTCATCCCTTGGTATTATTCAAAATATCATAAAACATTGCTAGAATACCAAACTTACTGTAGGCAATGGGTTCCCAAACTTTTCATCTGGGGCCCCCCTTCCAGCATTGGGGAACATCCCGCGCCCCACCTGCACACGCGTGCAGGCACCACGTCTATTTCTATGGGCACAAGCACTGTTCATGACACAAACTGTTCACACCCCTCTTGTTGGTGGAGAGCATTTTGCAGTTTTAAAGCAAATGTTCTTGCAATTCTATATATTTTGCCATGTTTAATGTCTATTCAAGTGATATTTGAGTGACAAAAAAATTACAACAATATCTATGAGCTAAAAAACCTAAATAAAAAAACATTAGCTGACATGGGCTAGTTGATCTGGACATTTCTGACAAGTTATAAATAGCTCTCTAAGGTCTGTAATGACTTCAACTTTTAGGAATAGCTATCAGTGCTGGCTAGAGAACTGATAAGCTTCTCTAAACTACCAGTTCAGTAGGTATCATTGTGCAATAAAGCCAAGAGATTTTTTTTTACATGCAGATGCTACGTAGCACAGAAACAAGGAAAGGCATATTTCCTCTATGTTAAATTACGAAACAACCCCACATAGTAAGCAAATATTTACGAGTCAAGGAACCCTGCCAGATGTGAATGTCAGTGGTGGGGATGCACGTCAGAAAAAGAGATCAAGATAAAGATAAAGACAGCAGTCTAACACACTGCCCAATGAATTATAAACATCATAAATGGATCCTTCCAGCAGAAAGAAGGCATTCATTATCTAAATATTTACCTCTATATCAAGAGCAGAACTCCAATCTGAAGTTTGAAAGGCCTAAGTATATGATATCCAATGTATACAGTAAACAAAGTCGAGGCTCATTGAATACCTTAGACATTTTGGTATCAGAAAATACAATATGCCACAGATGAAAAAAAGAATCCTGAATCTTTATTGAAAATAAAAAAATTCTGAATTTTTTTACTGAAAATAAAAAAATTAGTTAAACGTTTAATCAGTTGGTATTATTCAAAATATCATAAAACATTGCTAGAATACCAAACTTACTGTAGGCTATAGCAGGGGTTACCAAACCTTTTTATTCGGGGCCCCCTGTCCAGCATTGGGGAACATCTATGGGCTAAGAAACCTAAGAAAACCTAAATAAAACAAATGTTTGCTGACATGGGCTAGTTGATCTGGACATTTCTGACAAGTTATAAATAGCTCTCTAAGGTATGCAATGACTACCCAATTTTGAAAATGCACCTTGTGCATTCTATTATTATAACTTTCAAGAGTAAGTTTAAAGCCAGACTGAGTTCTCCCTAGGGGGCGCACCCCACAGTTTGGGAACCACTGGGCTATAGGACAGCAATCAAAGGGTTCACTGACATATTTGATGAGATGTTAGAATATGTCATCCATGAAAATCAGTTATTTTCTTAAATATTGGTGAATAAAGTGTTGGCTGATAAGTCAGGTGTAAATATAATAAAGCAATAATTCTACAGCCAGCATATTTGTTCATGACATAAATGTTTACTCCCTTCTTGTCACTCCCAGGATACAATTTTACTAAAACTGCTTATTCTACATGGTAATAAAACTTGACATATTGCCGACGTGAAGGTAATGCCAAAACAGTGAGTTACCCTTGGTTTGTAGTATAGATAATGAAAAGGATTATGAGGACTTGGGGGATTGTAACTAACAGCCGTGAGCAGAGTACTGTGTCTTATGAGGGTTAGTAGAAACATTTGAGCATTTCGCTTCCCAACACCACAATAGTAGTCTGAACCAAGTCAATAGATCAGGTGGTGTGCATGCCAGAACTGAACATACGGTCCGTGTTGAGAAATCTCACGTTCAGTTGCCATTTCCTCATTTTATTGCCCACAAAGCGAGAACTATACATAATGGGCAGGACATTATTTGTAATCTTGATCTGGTTGCTTTTTGCCTATATTATCAATACTTTTCTGACTTCTACACTAAAGCCTAACTTGAAAGATGCACACTGTTGGACCATTCTTCACTGCAAGCATGTTACTATTCAACCTGTAAAAATCAAGACAGTGATGGTAAACATGGATGTAAACATGTAACCACAGATAAGAGTGTCATGGCAACATTTCACAAATCACTTCTCTTGGCTTTGAAACAGAAATGTGTGGGTAATGTTGGGCACAGACACATAAATACTGGGTAACATCAGACTGAAATCCATTTCCTCCCTCCCTATTTCCTCTAGTTGCAATTGAGGATTGAAGGATGTAAAAAGGAGACTATAGTCAAACTGAAATGACAAAGACCTAGAGAATGCAATAGATGTTTGTTAACAATCTTGTCAATCTTGTAATTTGTTAGACTTTACAGATTTTTTACATTCCTTTACAGATCCAAAATGTGCATGCACACTATGATTCTACTTGATTTTGTGTGGTTTAGTCTGCCACTTCTTGTGGTCCTTGCCTCACCAACCCCTGCTTCGAATGATGAGAGAGGCCCCTGTCAAATCTACAACTCTGGTCGCTCCGCAAACTGCCTTGGTCAGCGACTGGATCATGTTCCATGGAAGCACCTCCCTTCCACGCTTGAAAGTATAGATCTCTCCTACAATGAACTTAATGCCATTCGTGTTAATTATTTTTTTCGCCTACCTCATCTTCGTGTCCTTGAGCTGCAGTTCAACAACATCTCTGTGATTGAGGACCATGCCTTCCACAACAACCCCCTCCTGGAGCATCTTAACATCTTTAACAACTCCCTAGAGGAAATCCCTGCCAACGCCTTGCAGGACCTCTATAATCTAAGGGAACTCCTTATGTCGAATAACCTTTACACCCAGGCCACATTGGCAGCTGACGTTTTCTCCAGATTTACCCACCTCAAGGCCCTGTCCATGGGCGGCCCCTTGGTCAAGGGTCTAAGGAAAGGGGACTTCCAGGCATTGAGGAACATTCGGTTACAGGAGTTTGCCATTAAAACTTCATCCAATATCAGTTACTATGAACCGGGTAGTCTGAAGGTAATCCAGGCATGTAGAATGGGTTTTGACATGGCCATAGATCAGAAGCCAAATTTCCTACCTTTGATTCTTCGAGACTTGGCCAACAAGACTTTCAGTCTCATCCAATTCAGGAACCTCTTTGAGTTCATGTATTACATGGGAGATGAGGATATTTTCAGAGGCTTGCAAGACATCAAAGTAGATTCGCTCATCTTTCACCGTGGAAAATTCAATGAGAACCTTATGAGGATGGCTCTGTTTAATCTACAGGTCACCCCCCTTAAACGTCTGACACTTCAATACATTGACTTTGCTCGCTCGCCCAACTTTGTGGATAATGGCTTGGGCTCCAGTATCAAAAACCTTGCACTGAGTAGACTAAATCTGTGGTAAGCATATCTTATTCTACTCTGTTAAATTACAAAAGCATTATGCAGACATTTCTACCCAGAAGATGCAAAAACAAATACAGGTTCCTAGTCACAAGTGTATTTTTTCATCAATTTAAATCTGTTTCCATATCTACAGTGAGGGAAAAAAGTATTTGATCCCCTGCTGATTTTGTACGTTTGCCCACTGACAAAGAAATGATCAGTCTATAATTTTAATGGTAGGTTTATTTAAACAGTGAGAGACAGAATAACAACAACAAAATCCAAAAAAACGCATGTCAAAAATGTTATAAATTGATTTGCATTTTAATGAGGGAAATAAGTATTTGACCCCCTCTCAATCAGAAAGATTTCTGGCTCTCAGGTGTCTTTTATACAGGTAACGAGCTGAGATTAAGAGCACACTCTTAAAGGGAGTGCTCCTAATCTCAGTTTGTTACCTGTATAAAAGACACATGTCCACAGAAGCAATCAATCAATCAGATTCCAAACTCTCCACCATGGCCAAGATCAAATAGCTCTCCAAGGATGTCAGGGACAAGATTGTAGACCTACACAAGGCTGGAATGGGCTACAAGACCATCGCCAAGCAGCTTGGTGAGAAGGTGACAACAGTTGGAGCGATTATTCGCAAATGGAAGAAACACAAAAGATCTGTCAATCTCCCTCGGCCTGGGGCTCCATGCAAGATCTCACCTCGTGGAGTTGCAATGATCATAGGAACAGTGAGGAATCAGCCAAGAACTACCCGGGAGGATCTTGTCAATGATCTCAAGGCAGCTGGGACCATAGTCACCAAGAAATCAATTGGTAACACACTACGCCGTGAAGGACTGAAATCCTGCAGCGCCCGCAAGATTCCCCTGCTCAAGAAAGCACATATACATGCCCGTCTGAAGTTTGCCAATGAACATCTGAATGATTCAGAGGAGAACTGGGTGAAAGTGTTGTTGTCAGGAGACCAAAATGGAGCTCTTTGGCATCAACTCAACTCGCCATGTTTGGAGGATGAGGAATGCTGCCTATGACCCCAAGAACACCATCCCCACCGTCAAACATGGAGGTGGAAACATTATGCTTTGGGGGTGTTTTTCTGCTAAGGGGACAAGTTCACCGCATCAAAGGGATGATGGACGGGGCCATGTACCGTCAAATCTTGGGTGAGAACCTCCTTCCCTCAGCCAGGGCATTGAAAATGGGTCGTGGATGGGTATTCCAGCATGACAATGACCCAAAACACACGGCCAAGGCAACAAAGGAGTGGCTCAAGAAGAAGCACATTAAGGTCCTGGAGTGGCCTAGCCAGTCTCCAGACCTTAATCCCATAGAAAAACTGTGGAGGGAGCTGAAGGTTCGAGTTGCCAAACGTCGGCTTCGAAACCTTAATGACAAAATCCCTCCTGAGATGTGTGCAAACCTGGTGGCCAACTACAAGAAATGTCTGACCTCTGTGAATGCCAACAAGGGTTTTGCCACCAAGTACTAAGTCATGTTTTGCAGGGGGGTCAAATACTTATTTCCCTCATTAAAATGCAAATTAATTCTTAACATTTTTGACATGCGTTTTTCTAGATTTTTTTGTTGTTATTCTGTCTCTCACTGTTCAAATAAACCTCCCATTAAAATTATAGACTGATCATGTCTTTGTCAGTGGGCAAACGTACAAAATCAGCAGGGGATCAAATACTTTTTTCCCTCACTGTATGTAGTCTGAAAGTACCAATTATGTTATCATCTTGACCACACATGTTTTTTTCATGCTTACATTTTTTGTCTCCATTACTCCTCAGGCATATCAGTAATCCAGACATTTTGCGTTTCGACTGGCGCTTCACATGGTTCAACAAAGTCCAACTGCTGTCCATTCAGAATGTGAACTTCAACTCTGTGCCTTGCGACGCCTGGCTTAATATGGAAGGCATGGAGGTTTTGGACATCTCAAACAACCGCCTGCAGGACAACATCCTCTTCAACCAGAGATGCAACTACAGGGGCACCATGCCGGCTCTTCGATCCTTCAATGTCAGCACCAACCAACTGACCAGCCTTCAGGACTTAGCCTCCCTGACCAGGGAGTTCAAACAATTGAAGGTCATGGATGTTAGCCACAACATGCTGGGCTCTGCTGAGAAGAGTCACAACTGTAACTGGATGCAGAACATCACCCAGGTGATCGCTCACCACAACCGATTCGAAAGTGGTGCCTTCCAGTGTCTGCCCACCACAGTACAATTCCTGGACCTTTCGTACTGTGACCTGGACCAGCTGGACATGGTCTACTTCCAACAAACCACCAGCCTTAAGGAGCTCCTGCTCAATGGGAACAAGATCAAGTTCATCCCTTCTGGTTGGAGAAGTCACTCCTTGCAGTCACTGGCTCTGGATGGGAACTCCTTTGGGCTCATCAGCATGGGCTCCTTCCAGGACATGCCCCAGCTGTCTCGACTGACGGCAGGGAACAACCCATACCACTGCACCTGCGACCTCCACGCCTTCATCCAGGACACAATTTCAAAGGGGAAGGTCAACATCACTGACTGGCCAGAGAACTACAAGTGTTACCATCCAGAAGCCTTGCTCAATACCGCTGTGGCAGATTTCTTCCCGGGTCACGTTGCCTGCGATGTCAGACTGGTCATCATCATCTCTGTGGCTACTACTGCAGCTGTGGTTTTAGTGTTGATGCTTATATGCTACATATTCAATGTTCCCTGGTACACCAAAGCCACATATCAGATCCTCAGAGCCAAATACAGGGCTCATCAGGAAGGAGCATCTGGAAAATCACAGATCTATGCTTACCACGCCTTCATCTCCTACAGCCACCCAGATGCAGACTGGGTCAGGGACCAGTTGTTGCCCTGCTTGGAGAACAGCAAGCCCCCCTACCAACTCTGTATCCATGAGAGAGACTTCATGCCAGGAAAGTGGATCATTGACAACATCATTGAAAATATTGAGAGCAGCGAAAAGGTAAGGGTGAGGACCACCCAAGACAAGTTAGAGGTGTTTTAACAAGTAAATAGTAATAGACTTTTGAATATAAAAGGTAAATTGAACAAACCAAAATGTAAAATGTATGTTTTGTTTAGGTTTGTATCCTGATTCCTGCACTGTGCATTTGCCTAAATTAATACACCCTATCCTCTGATTTTTTTGTTTACAAATCCAGATCATATTTGTGTTGTCACGCCACTTTGTGAACAGCGATTGGTGCAACTACGAGCTCTACTTTGCCCAGCAACGAGCCATCGGCAAGACCTTCAGCGATGTTATTCTGGTGGTTAAAGAGCCCATCGACCCTGAATCTCTGCCCAGCAAGTATTGTAAGCTCAAGAAGATGCTGAACACCAAAACGTACCTAGAGTGGCCCCAGCAAGCCAAGCAACAGACCTTCTTCTGGGCTCAACTTAAGAGTGTCCTGGGCAAGCCCACACTGACTAGAGAGCAGGCTCTTAGTGTTAGGAGCATCAGTGTATCCTCAGTGGGCGCTGTGCCTATGATAGAGCTCCCTCTAGAGGATGGGAAGCTGGCGATATCTGTGCCAAAGTTAGACAGAAAAGCAGAGCTCCACCAAGTAGTTGGGCAAAGACCAATCCCTGTAGCTGTGGCATGAGCCAAAATAAGCCAAGCATGTAACTTGTAATGTGTATAGTGTCCCAAGACCAATCTCTCTCTGAAGTGCTGAGCTTGAGTGACTTCTTGGCCATGCTGTGGCAGATAATGTGTTTGCCAAGCTGCTGGTATCATTAGCAAATGTTTCATAATGATGACAGTGACTAAAATGATCTGTCTGCCACCCACCCTTCTGACATGTACAGTGCCTACTCCCCCTTGAACTCTTCACATTTTGTTGCGTTACAAAGTGGGATTGAAATAGATGTAATTGTATTTTTTTTGTAATTGATCTACACAAAATACTCCAAAATGTCAAAGTGAAAAAAACGTTATATAAATGTTTACAAATTAATGCAAATTAAATAACTAAAATATAGTCGTTGCATAAGTATTCATCCCCTTTAGTTCAGAAAGAAAAATCGGCTTAACAAATCACAAAATAAGTTATATGGACTCACTCTGTGTGAAATAATAGGGGTTGATATGATTTTTGAATGACTATCCCTTTCTCTGTCCCCCATACATATATACAACATCTGTAAGCTCCCTCAGTCAAGATTCAACTATAAAGACCAAGGAGCTTTTCGAAAGAAGGGCAGTGATTAGTAGATGGGTAACAATAAAAAATCAGACATTGATTATATATTTAAGCATGGTCAAGTTAATAAGTATGCTGTTGATAATTTATCAAACAACCCAGACACATCAAAGATGCAGTCGTCCTTCTGAACTGAGCTGCAGGATAGGAAGGAAACTGCTTAGGGATGTCACCATGCGGCCATTGCTGATTTAAAAACCGCTACAGAGTTCAATGGCTGTAATGGGAGAAAACTGAGGATGGATCAACAACATTGTAGTGACTGCACAATTATGACCTAAATGACAGAGAAAAATAATAATACAAATATACAGAATAAAAAATATTTCAAAACATGCATAAGTATGCAACAAGGCACTAAAGTAATACTGAAAAAATAATTACACGGCAAAGGAATACACTTTTTGGCCTAAATGCAAAGCCTTATGTTTGGGGCAAATCCAACACAACACATCACTGAGTAACTGCCTCCTTATTTTCAAACATGGTGGTGGCTGCATCATGGTATGGGAATGCTTGACATCGGCAAAGACTGGTGAAATTTTCAGGATAAAAAGAAACGGCATGGAGCTAAGCACAGGCAAAATCCTAGAGGAAAACCTGCTTTAGTCTGCTTTACACCAGACACTGGGAGAGGAATTCACCTTTCAGCAGGACAATAACCTACAACACAAGGCCAAATCTACACTGGAGTTGTTTACCAAGAAGACAGTGAATGTTCCTGAGTGGCCAAGTTACAGTTGACATACAGTGGGGGAAAAAAGTATTTAGTCAGCCACCAATTATGCATGTTCTCCCACTTAAAAAGATGAGAGAGGCCTGTAATTTTCATCATAGGTACACGTCAACTATGACAGACAAAAGGAGGAAAAAAAATCCAGAAAATCACATTGTAGGATTTTTAATGAATTTATTTGCAAATTATGGTGGAAAATAAGTATTTGGTCAATAACAAAAGTTTCTCAATACTTTGTTATATACCCTTTGTTGGCAATGACACATGTCAAACGTTTTCTGTAAGTCTTCACAAGGTTTTCACACACTGTTGCTGGTATTTTGGCCCATTCCTCCATGCAGATCTCCTCTAGAGCAGTGATGTTTTGGGGCTGTCGCTGGGCAACACGGACTTTCAACTCCCTCCAAAGATTTTCTATGGGGTTGAGATCTGGAGACTGGCTAGGCCACTCCAGGACCTTGAAATGCTTCTTACGAAGCCACTCCTTCATTGCCCGGGCGGTGTGTTTGGGATCATTGTCATGCTGAAAGACCCAGCCACGTTTCATCTTCAATGCCCTTGCTGATGGAAGGAGGTTTTCACTCAAAATCTCACGATACATGGCCCCATTCATTCTTTCCTTTACACGGATCAGTCGTCCTGGTCCCTTTGCAGAAAAACAGCCCCAAAGCATGATGTTTCCACCCCCATGCTTCACAGTAGGTATGGTGTTCTTTGGATGCAACTCAGCATTCTTTGTCCTCCAAACACGACGAGTTGAGTTTTTACCAAAAAGTTCTATTTTGGTTTCATCTGACCATATGACATTCTCCCAATCCTCTTCTGGATCATCCAAATGCACTCTAGCAAACTTCAGACGGGCCTGGACATGTACTGGCTTAAGCAGGGGGACACGTCTGGCACTGCAGGATTTGAGTCCCTGGCGGCGTAGTGTGTTACTGATGGTAGGCTTTGTTACTTCGGTCCCAGCTCTCTGCAGGTCATTCACTAGGTCCCCCCGTGTGGTTCTGGGATTTTTGCTCACCGTTCTTGTGATCATTTTGACCCCACGGGGTGAGATCTTGCGTGGAGCCCCAGATCGAGGGAGATTATCAGTGGTCTTGTATGTCTTCCATTGCCTAATAATTGCTCCCACAGTTGATTTCTTCAAACCAAGCTGCTAACCTATTGCAGATTCAGTCTTCCCAGCCTGGTGCAGGTCTACAATTTTGTTTCTGGTGTCCTTTGACAGCACTTTGGTCTTGGCCATAGTGGAGTTTGGAGTGTGACTGTTTGAGGTTGTGGACAGGTGTCTTTTATTCTGATAACAAGTTCAAACAGGTGCCATTAATACAGGTAACGAGTGGAGGACAGAGGATCCTCTTAAAGCAGGTCTGTGAGAGCCAGAAATCTTGCTTGTTTGTAGGTGACCAAATACTTATTTTCCACCATAATTTGCAAATAAATTCATAAAAAATCCTACAATGTGATTTTCTGGATTTTTTTTCTTCAATTTGTCTGTCATAGTTCACGTGTACCTATGATGAAAATTACAGGCCTCTCTCATCTTTTTAAGTGGGAGAACTTGCACAATTGGTGGCTGACTAAATACTTTTTTTCCCCACTGTAAATCTGCTTGAAATTGTAGGGCCAGAGCTTGAAGAATTTTGAAAAGAATAATGGGCAAATATTGCACAATACAGGTGTGAAAAGCTCTTTTAAGACTTACCCAAGAAGACACACAGCTGTAATCGCTGCCAAAGGTGTTTCTAACATGTATTGACTCAGGGGGGTGAATACTTATCTAATCAAGGTATATTAGTGTTTTATTTTTCAATAATGTTTCCACTTTGACAGAGTATTTTGCGTAGATCGTTGACAAAAAAAGACAATTAAATCAATTTTGTGAAGAAATCCAAGGGGGGTGTAGACTTTGTATAGGCACTGTAAGCCTTGGCGCAGAGGGGGTGCTCTCTGCCCCATGTGCTCTCTAAGTGACCCAGGCCAAGGGCCCTGTTGACAGGTGTTGAAAGACCACAAACTCAACAGCTCAAAATGGGATCTCCTGTGTCACACTTGAGATAACAAGCGAGGTGCCAGGGAGATGTGGTGACAGGTGTCATGCAGCGTGGTTACACTCCCACCACTCGGCCACTGACCACAATTACTGTAACACATAATGTATGCCATTTAGCAGACAGTTTTATCCAAAGCGACTTACATTTTACGTGCACGTACACATACACATGCCATGTAGAATCTGCTCTGCCATGTCAAAGAGCATGCAAGCCACAAATCTCATATGAAAAGGGGGAACCAGTGGGGACTGCATGTTAAATATGACTGTTGTTTAGAATTAAAAATGTAACTTACTGTGAGGGAAAAAAGTATTTGATCCCCTGCTGATTTTGTACGTTTGCCCACTGACAAAGAAATGATCAGTCTATAACTTTAATGGTAGGTTTATTTGAACAGTGAGAGACAGAATAACAACAACAAAATCCAGAAAAACGCATGTCAAAAATGTTATAAATTGATTTGCATTTTAATGAGGGAAATAAGTATTTGACCCCTCTGCAAAACATGACTTAGTACTTGGTGGCAAAACCCTTATTGGCAATCACAGAGGTCAGACGTTTCTTGTAGTTGGCCACCAGGTTTGCACACATTTTAGGAGGGATTTTGTCCCACTCCTCTATGCAAATCTTCTCCAAGTCATTAAGGTTTCGAGGCTGACGTTTGGCAACTCGAACCTTCAGCTCCCTCCACAGATTGTCTATGGAATTAAGGTCTGGAGACTGGCTAGACCACTCCAGGACCTTAATGTGCTTCTTCTTGAGCCACTCCTTTGTTGCCTTGGCCATGTGTTTTGGGTCATTGTCATGCTGGAATACCCATCCACGACCCATTTTCAATGCCCTGGCTGAGGGAAGGAGGTTCTCACCCAAGATTTGATGGTACATGGCCCCGTCCATCGTCCCTTTGATGCGGTGATGTTGTCCTGTCCCCTTAGCAGAAAAACACCCCCAAAGCATAATGTTTCTACCTCCATGTTTGACGGTGGGGATGGTATTCTTGGGGTCATAGGCAGCATTCCTCCTCCTCCAAACACGGCGAGTTGAGTTGATGCCAAAGAGCTCCATTTCGGTCTCATCTGACCACAACACTTTCACCCAGTTCTCCTCTGAATCATTCAGATGTTCATTGGCAAACTTCAGACGGGCATGTATATGTGCTTTCTTGAGCAGGAGGACCTTGCGGGCGCTGCAGGATTTCAGTCCTTCACGGCGTAGTGTGTTACCAATTGTTTTCTTGGTGACTATGGTCCCAGCTGCCTTGAGATCATTGACAACATCCTCTCGTGTAGTTCTGGGCTGATTCCTCACCGTTCTCATGATCATTGCAACTCCACGAGGTGAGATCTTGCATGGAGCCCCAGGCCGAGGGAGATTGACAGTTATTTTGTGTTTCTTCCATTTGTGAATAATCGCACCAACTGTTGTCACCTTCTCACCAAGCTGCTTGGCGATGGTCTTGTGCCCATTCCAGCCTTGTGTAGGTCTACAATATTGTCCCTGACATCCTTGGAGATCACTTTGGTCTTGGCCATGGTGGAGAGTTTGGAATCTGATTGATTGATTGCTTCTGTGGACAGGGGTCTTTTATACAGGTAACAAACTGAGAT